ACAAGCAACACTAGCCAAGTCCTCGACCGAAGCTGAGTACAGGGCCTTATCTGCAACAACATATGAAGTTATTTATCTCCGTCGACTAACCGTCAAACTTCAACTTGAACAACTTTCCCCTAAAACCATTCATTGCGACAACATTTCAGCCATTGTCATTGCCATGAACCCCGTTTTTCACGCACGGATGAAACACATCGAGATCAACTATTACTTTATTCGTCAACACATTTCATCCGGTGCCATAAATATTCAGCATATTTCCTCTCAAGATCAAATAGCTGACATATTAACAAAACCGTTTTCTTACACTCGATTTAACCACCTTCGATCAAAATTAACCATTCGAAACTCGAATGATTAATTTGCGGGAGGCTGTAAGCATATGGTTTTCGTTCCCTTAAACTGTTCATTTTGTATTTACAATTTTACTCATTAGTTTCTATATATACACCTGTAATCAACTTTTCATAATAAGATTATCATATTCTCTGTTCTATCTTCATGTTCCTCTTCTTGCTCTCTGCTTCGTTCCTTCTCCTGCCGTCCACGAAGAACTCTCACAAATATATATTTCGATGATAGTTAAATCATTGAATCAAAAAGTTTTGAGCATCCTTAAAATATTGATCAAATAATTTCTGGTAAGCTTGATCAAATTTCTATCAATGTTTGATAAAAGTTTAAGACATTTTTAAATTTTATATTTTTACACTCTATTTATGTTGAGATTGACTAGTATGATTTTTTTATGCTTTTGCAAACAGATGTACACTATTGGCAGATATAAAGCTAGGGATGCGATGAAAATAGATTTAATAATGATGATTTTCAAGAATATATTTTTTAGTCATTTTAATGTTATCAAATTTAGGCTCTTTATAGTGATTTAACCGTGTTATAGTGACATAAATGAAATCTCTAAAAGCAAATTTTATAATGATATAGCTTCTACAATTATACTCAATATATTATCATAAAAAATATTGCCCTATTTTAATTTAATATAAAGCTTTTTATGAAAATTTATTCTCTATTATATTTATCTTACTGTCATAGTTATTATTCTTGCATTCTTAGATACTATACTCTATTATTTAATATCATTGATATATCATCAAAAAATTATCTTGATCAGGCACGAATCTCGAGGCAAAATCAATTCGGAAACTTCAAAAATTAAATTCGGGATCAACCGAACTTTGATTTCAGCAAACTTACAGTCAAATTGAGCATCTCGGAAATACGAACCCAACGACACCAAATTAATTCGACTCAATCCGAGCCGAAATGAGCCCAAATCAAGGATCCGAAGCGTTGTTGGAAGCTTTGTACCACTGTTTGAGTTACCAAACGGTTTTTAAATATGACGAGCTTATAGTCGAATTAATCAGCCGACACCCGGACTTCTATCGTACAGTTGTTATTTGTAATATGATCGCCCTCGGAGGTCAATTAGTCCATTGTAACCAACTTATATTCTAGTGAAATCATTTTAAACTAGGCTAGGCCTTGTAGTTTTTCCCCTTTCAATGGTTTTCCACGTAAAAAATCTTATGTCCTCTATGTGTGAGCTGGATATCCGTGCAAAGCTAAGACATATAGTTAAAACGCTATCGCCGCATATATTCTAGCCAGCGCAACAATCATAATATGTTCAAATTTTATTCAAATATTAAAAAAAAATATTAGAAAATGTAATTAAACTATTTTATAAATTTTTTCCGATAATGTCTTATTCCAATCCTATTTTAATTATGCTCGAATATTTAAAAAATCATTAAAATTTATTATATTTTAAATAATGCTTGAGCATTATATTTAATATTTAAAAACATAATACTAAATTGATATCACAAAGCCCGTCTAGCTCAGTAGGTAGAGCGCAAGGCTCTTAACCTTGTGGTCGTGGGTTCGAGCCCCACGGTGGGCGTCTAATTTTTTTTTTCTTCCCATTAAAATGCCATTTTTTCAGTTGATAAACTTTTTTTTCCTTAACGCGTTCCAGCTTAAAATAAAGCTTAAGATTTTTATATTATATATATATTTTTTTTGTAAATTATATGAAATAAATAATCTAACATAAATAAGATATTTGTGTCCATTATTCTTTTTTTGTTTAGCATGAAATTAATATAAAGTATTTGCTCTCACAATCTAATGTAAGCTGACTCAGCTCCATCAACTATAATATAAGTCTTTAAACGGAAAATTTTGTGGCTTAAGCAACTATATTTCTTCAAGAATATTTCTACATATGACCTTGCCAGCCAGTTTTCACTGTCAAGTGTCTCAATTATTTGAACTTTACTCCTTAATGTCCTCACCTTCACAAGAGATTTTTTTTAAGGATATTTAGATCAATTAAGATAAAATCATACACATAAAACATACACAATACTTAAAATCAAGAGCTCTTGTTGTTGCTAAAGATCCCGATCAAAATATCAAGATGAGCTGCATCATGTGAAAACTCTTAAATAAAAAGAAGCTAAACTCTTAAACATATAGGCACCTCTTGGTGTAATGGTTGGAATATTTTCTTATAAATTTAACCTCAAGTCTTTGAATTTAGGGTTAGTTTGGAAAAAAAAAATGTATTCATTAAGAAACTCCGCAGTTAATGGTTGGAATATTTTCTTGATGTAATGATTGAAATTTCATTAAGAAACTTCGCAGTTAATGTTAATGTATTTAAAATAAACTTTTAAATGATTAAACCCATAGATTTACTTTGCAATTAATATAAAAAATTTATAAAAAAAGTTATAAATATATTAAGGGTTTAATAAACTTCCTAGTTTTGCCACCATATATTCTCATAATTTCTCATACTTAAACAATAATGCATATAATTCATTTCATTGCAGTAATTAAAATAAAAACAAGCTTATTTTGAAATTCATAAGATGGCAACAAAAACTTTACATGGCATAAATATACTATTTCAGAATTTTACCAAATTGTATGAGATTTTTTATAACCCGATTTTAAGGCTTAAATTTTACTACAATATTTTTTGAGTTCAAGATTATTTTTTTAGGCAATTAAAATAGCGCACTTTTCAAAAATACATGGCATAAAAATTTTCAGAAAATCCCTAAAAGTCTAAATCTGATGTCTGTATAACATATAGAAAGTTATATAGTGAATTTTTTATAGGTGTAAAGTTATTCTAATTTTTTGGTTACAAAAATATAAATTTAATTGAAATAATCCATAAATTGTCGTATTTTTTAGAACTAAGATAGATCAATTGTCACCTACCTCGAGCCGAATAGCTTTCAGAACAGATCCATAAGCAAAAAAATGAATTGTAGCGACGCAAAACCTCTTTTCCCTCACTAGAATCCCTCTTTAATGTTGCACAGTTCCACAACGTTGGTCACGGTGCTATCCTATAAGATGCACAATGCCAATGCACTCCAAAGTGCATAATTAAATTGCCAAAAACCCGATAGCACTGTTGCTCAGTGCTGCCAAACCTGACGCCATGGCGACCCAAGAGGAAAACTTTAGATTTTTCAAACATGTAAACAAACCCTCACGACCTGCTTCATAACACATACAAACTCTCACATGCACCGAAAATATTCTCAAGCGCATGTAGAAGAATTCAAATGCATAAATTTAATAACTTACTTTATTCAGAGCAGATCAGAATAGGATGGACTTAATACTGAATCTGATGTTGTTGTAATATGAATCTGAGATAGTGGTATGAATAGAATGACATTTATAAGGAGAGTATATATTGCCTTCAGGTTGTTCAAAAAATGCTGAAAGATGGCCGCAACTCGCAAGGAGGGAGAGCCTTTAGGTTGGTTTACTCAAGTGATGGAATTTTTGTAATTTGGTGGGAATATCTTCAAAGTAGAGGCAAGAGAGAAAAAAAACAAAAAAGAAAACACATCAATTTAGTTGCTTTTGCCTTACCAACCTTTGTTTTTTATCAAGAAAAGTGAAAAAGCACAATTATACCTTTGTAGCTAAAAGCTACAAGCTCTTCAAAAAATATTTGCACTCCCAATCCACTTTATTATAAGAGATGAAATTCAATATAACAATCACCAAAAATATATTGTCTTCATGAGGTATGAGGTTTTTACAGACAATCAAGTGATTAAGGTAGCAAAGGGTTGGTTCTCAATGGTTATCATGCTAATTTAGTTTTTTCTATGTTTGCATAGATCAGTAATTGTTTATCCTTATTTTAGAGACACAAATTTAATAAAAAAGAAGATAGGTCCCTCACACCAATATTTTGGATTGAGTGGTCTAGCCTAGATTTAGTTGGTCAAATGCTTTTAATAGATTAGTTCTCTTAAGATTGAGTCTTCGTATGAGACGGTTTTTTTACTGCTTCTTGAAGCAGCTATTTAGTATAAAATAATTAAATTTTATACTAAATAGCTGCTTCAAGAAGCAGTAAAAAACCCGTCACAAACGAAGCCTGAGTTGTCATGAAAGATGATCAATATTATTATGAACATGATCAAATCGTGATGGTGGATCAATCGTAGCATAAATTTTAAATTTGAATTTCATAGAAATATGTCAATGACCAGATTCAAGTTTCATAAACAAGATATCGTTTGATCCTCTTGTTAATCTTGTGAAATTTCTTGTTAAGTTTCAAGTACATGATTTGTGCTTCTTCTAACCCGTATGAATCACTTATGGACTCTGGTCTTGCTTAGTTCATCGCTAAATTTGAAATTTGAATGATGTTGTATTTAATTTTGAAAGTTTTCAATTCCAATACATATTCAATTAAATACATTTTTAATGAATTATAAATAATATACTGTATTAAATAACTCAAAATATATTTTAATAAATGCTCTCTAAAAAAACCTATATATTTTTAGCTTTGAATCTGAAATGAATAAAAAATAGATGATGGGAAAATAATAATTTAATGCTGAATTTACCTTCTACGTGTTATAAAAAAAGATGCGATGCGTACTCACCTAAATATTTTATGAACGCGCCCACGAGCCGCTCACCTCAACAAAAGCTTTTTTAACCTTTTTTTTTTTCTTCCTCCTCTGCTCAGGTTTCTCGGTTAATCTGTCCGTCTCGATACGGAAAAAGCAGGAGAAGAGAATGGAGAGGAGCACGCCGGTGAGGAAGACGCACACCTCGACGGCAGATCTGCTGTCCTGGTCGGAAACGCCACCGCCTGCCGATCCTCCGGCGCCGGATTACTCCGCTCGCCGTTCTCACATGGTATCACACTCCCATTTTCGGGAATTCGCGTTGGAATGTGGCGCGTTTGCTTGGGTTTGGTTATTTTCTTTGGTTTTGACTGTTGGGAAACTTATTCTTACAGCCGTCGAGTGGGATCAGCCCTGCGTTGTTCGGGGGGAAGATGACTGAGGAGGAGGTGGAGAGTGTCAACAAAAGGTGAGATCGATCTTTTGTTTTCTTTCGATTTTTTGGTATTCATTTTGGTTGTAATGGGTCGATAGAAGTGTTTTTCATAGTGCACTATTGCTTTATCTGCTTTTCATTTTGTCCTTGAGGGCATAGTTTTTATCGATCTATGTGATTCATTAGTCTGATTTGAGGCACCCACTTGGATTTTAATCATTTTCTTTTTTTAATAGACTTGGTATTTTGAGAATGCCTTTCGATTTCTTCTAATCCTTTTCGAGTGGTGAGCGAGGCATTGCCCGGTAACTCGGTACTGGTCTGTTGAGGCCATTGGATGAATATTTTTGGGCTCTTTTCATTTTGAGCTGCCAATTATTATTATTGGATGAAGGCATGCTCGCTTCTTGAAGATTAAATATCTCTCGACTGGTAACGTTATGAAGCTCGAAATTCAGTATTCTTTGGAAAATTTGATCGAACTGTGTTGCTCCAGTTCTTTTTTCTCTTGAAACGTTGGTCTAAAGAGAACACAAGCATTACCCTAATTTAATTTGTGTATGCGAAGTTGCGAACACTCGGTTTCTTGCTTTTATCGTATACTTAAACAGCTACTCCTGGTCTTTTCTCCTCAACTTGATGATTTTGCTTTACTAATTGACATATTGTAACCTTAGGCAAGGGCCGGAAGGCCGTCCACTGGTTTGCTTTTTTATAATTTTACTGATACGTTTATTTGAAAATATATATATATATATTTTTAAATTTTGAATTAATGAGATGCAAAGATGCTGATTATATGCAACTTGAACCATCCTGATTTTACGGAACCCTGGAATTCTTCTCATTATTCATGTGTTTCAAAATTGAAAAGTATCTTTCATAATATAAACCCTCATGCTTGCTCGCAACCTTGAACTCTCCAAATTCCAAATGCCTGTGCATGAACTCATATGGTCAAGTACAAATGTATCCGTTAATTTTAAACGAAGTGCTGGCTTTCGTTTTTTTGAAGCTTTGCATAAAGCATTCAACAACTAAAAAGACTTACAAAAGGCAAAACGCCCTTAGTATGAAAAAAAAAAAAGCCAATCCTCCCCAAGGACATCAAAAAAGTCCTGAAGAATAGTATTGCTAATCCTATCCTAAAAGACCATAAAAAGTTGCAATTTAAAACCCTTTGGGCACAAAAATGAGCTGCTTGGTTAAATCTCCTAGGAACGTGAGAGAATATAACATTGTGAAATGACCAAGTCAGTTAAGGTCGTCACTATCCATCAAGAGTCCCAAATTCTTTTCTTTTTGAGCTTTTGTAGATGTTTGATCACACACACAATGTCACCTTATATAACAACGCCTCGCATATGGATCATCCAATCTTTAAGGATCCAGCCTATGTGGAGCATAGCTTGAAACTCAACATGCGTGCTATCCCATTGTTTGACTTGCCAACCAACAACATTAATAGGCTCACGTTGATCATCCCTAATAATGATTCCGATTCCACCAGAGTTAGAGCGAAGAAGTGCTCCATCCACATTGATTTTCAACCAATATGGAGGGGGAAAGTACCAAGGAGAATCATGTAACAGCCCTTAGGGCTGAGTAGTACACTAATACTCCTGAGAGGAAAGAAGAATCTTGTGGGAGATGGCGTCAAGCATCCTGGCTGCCATAATAGAAGGTGTACTTGTTGGTTTCCCATGCTTTTTGGCATTTCTATTCCTCCAGTTTTGATAGACAAAACAACAATATGCTTGAGCCCAGCACCTAGAATTCTTAGTGGCATTCATAATACCCTCCTGCAGATCATGGAAGCAATTAAATCAGAGGGTAAGTGCAGGCTTTCATGCAAATACATTTGGTATGAGAATATTTCTAGTTTAATTTCTTAAGAATTTATTAGAATCTCATAAGTTGCATCCTAATAGTTTGCAGCTTATATGATACACTCTTCCTTGCCATTTATTGTTCATCTAGAGAAATAAGAACTGTGATAGGGTAATTGAATGTTCATCTCTTTTAAAGTCATAGAATGACAAATATGGGGTGTTTATGGATTAGAATAAGGCTTCCTATGCCCACAAAGTTGACATATTTTTAATGTATATGTTTACATCAATACACGAAAGTAAGCAATCCGCTGCAAAACAAGCAAAATCCGCCGCATAATATGCTTTGTGGCGGATTAGCGGCTGAATAAATTTCGACGCTAAAAGTTGCATCGAAAAAAATATTTACGTCGGACATAATTCATCACAAATATTTTGCGGTGGATTTACGTCAGTTTTATGACGTATTTAAACTTCAAAAAAATGACGTGCACGTTATAGCAAGTTGCCGCAAATAACGACAGATTTATGACAGATTTGAGGAGTTATGATAGTTATTTTCGCCGCAATTTACATCATCGCTACAATGTATGATGAAGATGCTTTGTATTATTGTTTGCGGCGGAATTTTCGCTGTAAATCCGCCGAAAACCTGCAGCATAAAAAACACCTTTTTATTAATTGTTCAGCTTTTCAACAATCACAATCATAGCAATTTTAAAGCAGTAGTTAATAATGCTAATATTTCATCAAACACTGCTAAAATGAACATATTGCACAAACTATTCTATAATCACAATCTAACTGCTAAAATAAACAACCTCAATTCAATTGCTCTACAATAATATAACACTGTTACAATAAACCTAGTTCTTATACATCTGAAAAGAAAAAATGCATAAAAAATTTAAGATAATCTAAGCAGAATATGTATTCTCACTATCATGCTCGGTCGATGCAGGCGTAGATTGATTTACACTAATATTTTCTCTTAATCTCTGAAGCTCATCTAGTATCTGCATGTGCATGTTCATTTATAATTTTTGGATATGTTCTAGCTCAACCATCAGGTTTGTCACCTATTGGGTATATAAACTCTCTTATTTATTTGCAGAGTAGCTGGAGGCACAAGAGGACTGTCCCTCGTACGCACAGATCTACGAGCTTAATCCATAAACTCGTCGCTTCCGCATTTCTCCTACTGCCTGCGAACAAGTGCAGTAGTAAAAAATATATGCTAAACTCCTAGATGATCCCTCACCAACTACAACTTGCCTCTCTTGAAGCCATATATACTTATCTTACAAAACATAATATAAGATTAATTATCGTATAATCGTCACTTACAATATTTCTCTAAGTGTACTTGCATAGGCCCTTGCTTATTCGTCCACCCATTGCTAGTCCTTCTGGCTCTTGTAGGTGTGATTGTGCAACTCAACAGCAGTGGGTTCTTTATCCAATAACTCCTTCTGCAATATACTTAGATTAGCATGCATAACCAAATAAATTATTAAAATATATAATATTTTTACTAATTGTCACCCATGCTCAGTGTGTGAAACTGAGCCTCTAGTATGGAGGGAGCTACCTCCTAGGCCCCTGACGTCAAAAACTCAATTCTGTTTATTCTGCTCCCTCTTATTTGTATAATCTGGGCTGCCCCAAGCACTATTAAGGCCGGCCCATACATTCTCTCCAATCCGGAGAGGTTGCTTGCTTGTCCTCCTGATGCATGTGAATATATTTTTGATGCAACCTAAAAAAATTAAGTTTGCAAACTAAAGACTTCATTTCAATAAAACATAAACAAACACTGATAAAATAAAATAATGCTATTATATCACACAATAGCTTAAACAAACACAAGGCACACAACACAACACCAATTTCAACTCGTAACGAAATGACACCTTACAAGTTATAAAAGTTTCGAGAATAAAGATATTTGTGGAATGTGAACCAAATAGGGAAGAATTAGATAGAAGTCCGAGACAAAGTTTAGAAGATAGGGAGGTAGAAGAAAATAGCTCGCAAGTTATTTAAACCCGTAGTTTTTACTTTCCAAATATTCTTCACAATCTCTCTCTCTCTCTCTCTCTCTCTCTCCAAAACTCCACAAAGAGACCAACCAACTTTTATAGGTCGCCAACCATCGCCAGACTTCCTCCTGACCATTGTCGGACCATCGCCTGGACTTTTACCTGGTCGCCAACCATCACCAGACTTCCGCCCGACCATCGTCGGACCACCGCCTGGCCACCGACTCTCGCCGGACTTTCATCGACCTTTGCCAAACTTCTATCCGACGGCTAACTGTCACTGGACTTGTGTCTGACCATCATCAGATCACCACCCGGCCGCCAATAGCCGCCTTACTTCCACCCAACCGCCAACTATCGCCAAACTTCCTCCCAACCATCGTCAGACCACCGCCCGACCTCCGACCACTGCCAAAATTCCACCTGGCCGCCGCCGTCGAACTTCCGCCCAACCTTCGTCGGGCTGCCTCCCAGCCGTCGACCGCCGTCGGACTTATGCCCTACCATCGTCGAATCATTGCCCGTCAGTTAAACTTCTATGCTGACGCAATCGGACTTCAACCCGATCGTCACCTGACCTCTGCCCAACTCTTCAAACTAATATAATTCGACCTCCTCTAAGTCGAGGGAAATGCCAACATTTGTAATTCACTTAAATTTAGTAGAATCGTTTTCACCTTGGTGAGGCCCGTGATTTTTCCCTCTTCGAATTTTTCACGTAAAAAAGATAAGGCATTTTACTACTCTTTCTATTTGCGTGTTGTATATCCGTGCATCGCTAAGACGAAAAGTTTACTCACTCTATCGCTGCGAATATTCTAGCCCCGCAACAATACTCTTGGAGATTTAAGTCCATTTTAGTTTCTTATTTCATCAGTTATGTTTAAGGAGTGTGCTAGATTAATGATTAAATTGTCTTTATTCAATCTAAGGGCTTGGGATGTTTATTTTCTTTATCTTTATTATGTTTTCTTTCTTGTGTTTGGCTTGAGAGATTTGATGTTTTTTTTTTTGTGGTGAGAATTGGTATACTTGTGTTTTAGGAAGTATTCTAGTGCCTCATTTTATTTATACGCCTTTGTTCCTTATCTATAGTGAAGCTGATCATCTTTCTCTTTCTCTCTCTCAACAATGAATATAGGCTATTAGTTTAAACAAACTACTGAAATTTTGGTTGGTTTTTTGATGTCTTGTTTCTTTGTTATTACTTCAGCATTCATTGTTGTCGCTCTTAAATGGCGCTTCAATAAAAGAAGTGGTTTTTTCCTAACAATCTCACGCACTAGGTTCATGATGTTTTCAACTGTTAATGCTTGGCTTTTCTTTTGAAGATCTCACAATGTGAAATGGATGTCCATGGTTCCTTGATGCATTTACGTGAAATTTGTCAGCGGCCTGCTGGTCCATTTTTCATTTGAGCGTGTAATGAGTACTTGCAGCTCTTGCGGTTTGATGTTTATACTGTTTCTTTAGAAATGAAGCTGAGGTTTCTGATCTTTTTTCCATTGTGCTGTGTTGTAACGCACTGGTTTCTAATAATTGAAGCTTGTATAACTGATGAACTGATGCTAATGCTTATGCTTTCTAAAAGTTATGATGGCGGGTTTTGTTTAGTTATTACTGTACTAATCAATTGCTATTCAGTACTTTTGCATACTCTAACATTTTGTTTGTGGAGTAATAGGAAACCTTGCTCTGGTCCCAAGTTAAAAGAGATGACCGGTAGTGGTATCTTTGGGGTTGACAACGAAGATGGTGTATCAGAGTCGGGTAGTTCATTGGCAAATTCTAGTAGCAGAACATGTGTAAGAATTTATCAGGTAATTTGTCTATCATAAAGTGCATCGATTCTCTTACTTTCGATTTAATATCAGGGAATTAATTGGGCCGTGACATTTAGCGCTGTTTTTTAATGGTTATATATCATGTCAAACTTAAAGGTGCAACTTAAAACTTGTCGCAAGTATCACATGAGCATGGTAGGATAGAAAAATTTTTATATAGGGGCACAGCGCAGAAATAGCTATAGGTTACAAACGAATATAAGCAACAGAGGGGGTGATAATGAAGTCTTTTCAGGGAATAAATTCTGGAAATTTTAGATGACCATGTCCCCTGAAGCTAGCCTCAGCTCTGCCACCGGATATAATTGATTTGAGGGTTGTTTGGTATACTCATATCTAAAGTTCATTGCATTCTAAATTTTTAATGACATACAGTGAGATGTGATTCCCAACCTCGATTGTATCCTCTCACATCTTTTGATTTATCCTGAACAGAATCCTACCCCACTATGATCTTTGATTTCCTCAGAAATCTTTTCATATCGATTGATTTAACCCACAACAGTATCCTTTCATTTTCAAGGACTATATATTACTGGCATTAGTTGAGTTCAAGAATAGCAGCTGAGCTGTGAGAGGGACCAAACCCCACCTGAATTGGTTGAGAGGAATTGTTGGCACAGTTGCACTGCCCCTTGTGCTACTATAGTAGTAGAAATGAAGAAATATGTATATGAGGGTTGGTTTGGGAGGTGAGAATATGTTTAGTGAGGAAGGATCATAAGAGTTGTAGCTCATTGATTAAGTGTGGAGGAGGTAGTGGTAAATGATGGAATTTACCAATATAGGTTGAATGAAGGCTTTGTAGTCCTATTTCCATTGTTTGCGGTGCTGCTAGGGTGGTTGAAAATGATGAATGAAAACAGAAGAAGATGAAGAGGAGGTTTAGAAGGTATGAATCGGTTGATGGTGGAAGTAGGAATGAGTAAGGGGGATCTAGGATTTCTGCTAGATCATTTGAGATAGTTTGTCAAGATTTTTGTGAGAATATAGATTGGATACCTATGGTATGGTGGAGTAGCAAAGTTGTACTCTTTATGGGCAAATTCAGAATAGAAATTAAGCTTGCCACTTGAGAAACATTATTCATGTTATGCATCATACATGTTAATTTCATTCAAAGTTGATTTGCATTCTTGAAAGGAAAAAGTGTAGTTTTATGTAGAATTCACTATTATTTGAAAATGATGCTGTATTTTGAATTAATATGCTCTCTTAATCCGACTAAAGCAAAGAGCTACAATTTCTGAAAAGGATTGTACAGATTTCTTCTATTTTTCATGAATGGATTTAGTGACATTTCTATGAAACCCAGCGAGTATAAATTGGATTTAATTTTCATGTTATGAAGACACTCACAAGCCATGCAATATTACATTTACTCATTTTGGTTTTCTAGTTCTATATTCCTTTATTTTTTGCCATCAAATGAATCTGCCATGCTGAAGTTCGATACCTTGTTTCTTCAGCAAGCAACAAGCGGCATCAGTCAAATCTCATTTAGTGCTGAGGAGGGTGTTTCCCCAAAGAAACCAATCTCACTTCCAGAGGTGGCAAAGCAGCGAGAATTAAGTGGAACTCTTGAGAGTGAAGCTGATGCTAAAGTGAAGAAACAACTATCTGATGCAAAGAACAAAGAACTAAGTGGGCATGACATCTTTGGTCCTCCTCCTGAGAATCCTCCCAGGCCTTTAGCTGCACGGAATTTAGAACTGAAAGGTCAGCTGGACTTTGGTGAGCCCACACTGCGCAGCATACATACATCAGTAAAGGTCTCTAATGTAAGTAGCATGATTTCTATACTTTATTTTAATTTGCTTCTATTCTTTTTAAATATTTGAGCTCACTGTTTCCATCATTTGCTATCCTAGATGCGATCATGTTTTTTTAGTCTTTCATGGAGTGCTCTGTAAAGTAGCTATATGTGTAACACAAAATTACAAGAGTCTAACTTAGTGGTTGTAAAATTTGTTTTTTACCTCAGAATTCTTATGTAATGCTTGGTTATTTTTTTTGGCATATATTAATAAATTATTGTAGGCTTTCTGTTTTATATTTTACGTGGATTCATTTTTAGTATCTCCATACTATTCTAGAGAAGTTATCCCATAGGTTTCCTTCTCTATCGCTAGCACGAAACACCTTTCAACTTCCTTTTTCATTTTTTTTGTCTTGGAATCAAAATGTCTTTATTAGATAAATGTCTTCAAAGATTTTGGATCCATCTGATCATGTTATGATGGTTTTTGAACTTGTATTATGTTCAATTTTTCATGCAAGATGATAGTTTGATTTAATTTGGTTTTAAATTTATTTTCTTTTGGTTTGATTTGATTTAAAATTTATTAATAATATAAAAGATACTGTAGGTTATCATCTTAGCTTTGGAATTTCGGGTTCATAGGCCTAGATGTAGAAATATACTAGTTGTAAAAGTGGTTCAAAGTTGGATACTTTCAAGCTGTTAGCGGAGTTTAATGGTGGTGGCTGCGATAAATGATAACAACAATGCTGGCAGCTATGATAAACCTGAGTGCAATGGCTATGAAAAGCCCGAAGGTGGCGGTTATTGCAAGCCTTGAAGACAGTGACAATGGTAAGCCCAAAGATGGCAGATGCGTCTAACTCAAGGGTGGAAACTATAGCAGACCTGAAGGTTGTGACTGTATCAGGTTCAAAGGCAGCGATAACGAAAAGCCAATGGGTGGTATTTATGGTTGACTTTGAGACAATAGTTGTAAGAAGGTTGAAGCAGAAACAACGATGTAATCAATATGGAAAACAATGGTAGGGTTGAAGGTGATGGCAATTTTAATAGTAAATTAATATAACAATAGACCTAAAGTTGATGAATGCAATGGCAATAATTCTATAGGTGATAATTGTAACAATATTGAACCTAAGGGCAACTGTGGCAACAAATCTGAGGATAATGTTGCAACAAGTTTAGAGATGATAATGGTGATTATTCATATGATAAATTCGTGGAATGGATGACATGCATTGATATCAAATGAACATCAGACGTACCACCTCAGGCTAGCATTGACAAGATCTCTGTGGCGCATCATTGATTACTACAATGAATGTGTGCTTTCATCATCAACATCATTGGAAGCAGTAGATAGTAACATATCATCAGTATTAGCATTAAACACGTTCCATCATAGTGAACAACATCACATATGTTATCTATGAGCAGCACATGTGATTATCAACTAATGTGACATCCATCACGACAAAGATTGATGGTCCAAGCACTTTCTATTTCTACGTTTCGAGTCAAAATTCAATCATATTCAACCGCTTTTTGGATATCAATACCAACAGCCCCTTGGGATTGTGATAAGTCTCCTGCTGTGAGTAGGAGCCAACCGAACCTAGCGGCTTCTCTGAGCAGAAGTTTTCAGTCAGATTCAGCAGAACCGGACAGAACAAACAGGTAAGGAAGTTCGACCCCCTTATGGGGCCCAGAAAATGTTTAAGTCAATATGTGAGGAGTGAAATAGAGGGAGACATAATAAGAAATGTTTTAACTAAAATTGGGGAAAAATTATTTAGGGAAACAGAATGGTAGGGCGACCAACCACTATGGGAGGTTTTATGGGCAACATTAGGGGAGTTTTATGGTGGAGGTGGTAGGGCGACCAACCATTATGGGAGGTCTTATGGGCAAGGGAGTATGGACAACCAGAGGTGGACAAACCAAGCAATGGAGATTGGTAATGGGAAGCGAATGGAAGAAAGGTGAGATTCCCATCCTCGATACACGCGGGGAACCACTGACGAGTGAGGAAGTTGGTGTGGAGATGTGAGGTGACAAAGTTGAAGATGCCGGTGTTTGAAGAGGAGGATGCCCATGTGTGGGTACACCGGGTGGAGAGGTTTTTTGTGGTAAACTGATTGAGAGAGGAGAGGAGAAGCTTACATCTGCAAGGTTATGTCTAGAGGGAAAAACCCTCGCTTGGTTCCAATGGAGGGAGGTGAGATATCCGATCCGTTTGTGGGAGGACTTTAATGATTGCTTGTTGAAATGTTTTTTAGCCATTCTGTAAGGAGACCTACATGAGCAATTCCTTGCCTTGACTCAAGAGGGATCTATCATGGAGTACAGGGAGAGATTCAAGTTGATGTTGGAGAGGTTGTGGAGAATTTTGGAGGTGGTATTGGAGGGAAATTTCATGAAGGTCCTGGAGCCCGACATATGAGCGGACCTCTATTTGATGAGACCGAGGGGGTTAAAGGAGACAATGGAGCTAGCCCAAATATCAGGATATCAGAGACAGATGGAAAGGAGCAGTAAGAGCGGATTGCAGGAGGCTCTTACAGAAGTACCTCGACTTCACTGGCAGTCTGGCACTGAGGACCCAAACAATGTCATTTTAGCAGGAGGCACCAAGGGAGAATAGTGGGGGAGTTTGCACCGAGGCCAACTTTAAGCGCCTCATAGAAGCAAAGGTGCATGACAAAAGAGCAAAAGGTCTGTGCTTTCGCTATAATAAGAAGTATGCACCTGGCCATCAGTGCAAAGGATTGCACACAACAGGTCCTTATGGTTTGCAAGGAGGAGACTGACAGTGAGGATTTAGTGAAGGAAGCAGAAGAAGGATAGGATCACTTACACTTATATGTGGAAGAAATTTTCCTAAATTAAGTGGTGGGATTTACTACAAGTCACACCATGAAGGTGAGGGGGCAGATTATGGAGCAACCAGTGGTGGTCTTGGTGGATAGTGGGGTTACTTATATCTTCATCTCAAATTGGGTCGTGGACTAGTTGGGATTAAAGTTGGTGGATATAGGGAGCTTTGGAGTTATGATGGGAACATGAAATGTGGAGAGGAGTAGGGGTATATGTTGGGGGGTGATGCTGAAATTCCAGGGCATACAGTTAGGTGAGGATTTTTTTCCCTTAGATTTTGGGAGCACTGATATGATCTTATGGATGAAGTGGTTACTGACGATTGGGGAGATGAAGGCGGTTTGGAAATCTCTGATTATAGAGATTCAGGTGAAGGGGAAGAAGGTAGTGATGCTGGGAGATGCCAGCCTGTGCAGAATAATGGTTTCACTCAAAAATATGGTCAAGGCAAAATAGGGAGAAGGGCTGGGCTACCTTGTGGAGCTGGAAAGCCTGGAAAAGGTCTGAAACTCAAAGTCATTCGAGGTCCCTAATTGTGTACAACAACTACTACAATAGTTCTCTGAGGTGTTTCAGCAGCCTAACGGGTTATTGTCACCTCGGGAACACGAGCGCGCCATTACTTTGAAGTAGGGAGCGTCGCCTATCAGTGTCAGACCGTATTAGTACCCACATATTTAGAAGGATGGGATCGAGAAGCTCATCAGAGAGATGCTTGTGGCAGGAATTATCAAGCTTAGTGTGAGTTCTTTTTCCAGCCCCATGTTATTAGTGAGTAAGAAGTATGATAATTTGAGGTTTTGCATGAATTACGGTGCCCTAAACAAGGAAACTATGCTGGACAAATTTCCTACCTTGTAATGGATGAGCTGTTTGGAGCGATCATTTTCTCAAAGATTGACCTAAAGCCAGGGTACCACCATATCAGATGAAGCCTGGGGTTTTACACAAGACAATTTTCAGGACTCATGAGGGTCACTACAAGTTTTTGAGTATGCCTTTTAGCCTTACCAATACCCCAACCACTTTTCAGTCCCTTGAACCCTCCAACCCTAACTCAGAAAGTTCATCTTGGTATTTTTTGATAACATCTTGATCTACAGTTGTATGGAGGTAGAGCATGTGGGTTACATGAGGATTGTATTGAAGACTTTGAGATGGAGAACCAGTTGTATGCCAACCCGAAGAAATGTTCTTTTGCACAGCTACCAGTGGAGTACCTAGGACATATGGTGAGCAAAGAAGGGGTAGCAACGACTAGTCCAAAATTGAGGCTATGATTGACTGGCCTTACCTAAGAACCTGAATGAGTTGAGAGGGTTCTTAGGCCTCATCGGATACTATCGGAAGTTTTTGTGAGGGTATGGCATAATAACATGGTCATTGACTGAGTAGTTGAAGAAAAACAATTTCAATTGGGGGAAAGCAACGACACAGGCCTTCGAGCAGCTGAAGAAAGCCATGACCAGTGTGTTAGTATTAGCACTTCTGGACTTCAACAGTCCGTTTGTGGTGGAGATAAATACATAAGGATACAAACTAGGGGTGGTGCTCATGCAGGATCATCGACCACCCATTACTTATTTCAGTTAGATGCTCACTGTTAGGACGAGTCTCAAGTCCATATATAAATGGAAGTTGATGGAGATTCTCTTGGCCATCCAAAAGTGGCGATCTTATTTGTTGTGGCAATATTTTGTTATCAAGGTAGACCAGAGAAGTCTGAATTTTCTACTGGAGCAGAGGATGGTGATTGAGAAGCATCAGTGGTGGTTGTCCAAGTTGTTTGGATATGACTTTGAGATTTAGTATCACATAGGACTGAAGAAAGGCCATAGATGCACTATCACGGAAGATGGACAAGCCACATTTGACAACTATATTAGTACTTATGGTCCTATATTGGGAATCCCTGAGACAGGAGAGCGAATAGGATGAGAATCTGATGAAGATAAGAGTCTATTTGTTGCAGCACCCGGCTAGTCATCCTGGTTACACACTGAGGGGCGCGTAACTACTACATTAAGGGCAATTCATTTTACCGAGGGGGTTGGGATACATCCCCAAGCTATTGTAAGAGTTTCATGGCAATGCAGTCGGAGGACATTCAGGAACTTAGAAAATCCACAACCGGCTATCAGCGAAACTATACTAGGTGGGGATGAGCCGCGATTTAGAGGACTGAGTAGCCATATGTGATGTGTGCCAGAGGCATAAGTACTTAGCCATGATACCGGGAGGGTTGCTACAGTTATTGGGGATGAGGAGTAAACAACACAATGATGAAACAGACAAGAAAATAAAAGCAATGAAAAAATAAATGACATCGGGATTTAACTTGGAAAAATCCAAAATAGTTAAAAAATCATAGAGCCATACCATACCAAGAAATCCACTCTAAAAATGGGAAGAAATAATTACATATATATATATATATCTCTCTCTCTCTTATTGCTTCACTTCTCACATGCACAGTTCTCCTTATCTCCCAATACATAAAAAAAAAAGAGAAAGCCAAGTAAATAACCCCAAAGGACGCAACCCTTCAGAAAAACAAGAAAGAAAACCGTCTAGTCCGACTTGCAGCACTGCAGCGTCAGTTTGGTGCGATGTGATGTTTAAACCTTTGTCTTGATTGCTGTAGTGCTCAAGCTCATAGTGCTGCAGTGTCGTGCCTTCACCACTGCGATGCTTCGTTCTCTATCGCTCGGGAACATAGTGCCGGAGCGTTCAATTACATAGCGCCAAGGTATTGCACGAAAAAAAAGGGTGAAAGCACTCAAGCATAAGCAGGACCCCCTGTATCCCCCCAACAAGCAAGAAAAACTTTGAGGTTCGAGGCAACAAAATAACCTGATTGATCAACACAATCATATTCCACACATAACAACAACATCTAGCTCTGCCATAGAGGGTATGGGAGGAGGTGGCGATGGATTTCATCAAGGGGTTATCGCATTCGGAGAGATTTTTGGTGATACTGGTAGTAGTAGATTGTCTAAGAAAGTATGCTTACTTATCCCTCTGAAACCCTTACACTGTGGTCTTTGTGGCTACTATTTTCGTATGAGAGGTGGTGCGTTTGCATGGATTTCCAAAATCTATTGTGTTGGATAGGGCTAAGGTATTCCTTAACCACTTATGGAAGGAGTTGTTTCATTCACAGAAGACAGTCCTCAGAAGAAGCACAACATACCTTCCCCAGATAGATGGCTAGACCGAGGTGGTCAACATAATTGCAGAGACCTATTGGAGATGCTTTGTCTCAGATATGCCAAAGAGTTAGGCCAAATAGATTGTTTGGGCTCAATATTAGTACAACATCTCATACCATGGGAGAGATCCACCTCATTTGATTCATTATGGACATAAAACTATAGTAGTATCCAATGTAGATCAATGCTTAGAGTAGAAGGACAGAGTACTATCTAAGCTCAAGGGACATCTGTTGAGGGCCCAACAGATCATGAAACGGAAGGCTGATGAGCACAGAAGAGAAGTACACTTCGAGCTTGGATATACGGAGTACTTGAAGATGAGATCCTACAAGCAAAAGATACTAGCCAAGAGGAGGAATGAAAAATTGTCCCTACGATACTTTGCACCTTATGAGATTTTGGAACACATTGGAACAGTGGCCTATTGATTAGGGCTACCTCCTTCATTAGCATTACACCTAGTATTTCATGACTCCTAGTTGAGGCAGACGATAGGAAATCACACACTGTCTTCATTACCCGTGATTTCGACAGAATATATGGATGTCATTTTGGAACCACTGTGAGTAGAAGGGGTGCACCGAGGAGAGACTGGGTTGCATGAGGTACTAATCAAGTGGAATGAATTGCCAGAGCACGAAGCTACATGGGAACTATACAAGATTATTAGAAGATAATTTCTATCCTTTCACCTTCAGAACAAGGTGCGTCTTTGGGTAGGTATTAATGGAGTATTGTTATGTATCCTGATGTGAATAGGAGCCAGTCGAACCCAGCGACTTCTCTAGGTTGGAGTCTTTCGTCGGGTTCAACAAAACTGAACCTAGCAGATAGGGAAGGGGGGTCGGCCCTCCTTGTCGGGCTAAAAAAAATCTTTAATTCAATATGTGAGGAGAAATAGGAGAGATAATTATGAAGGTTTTAATTAAAATTAGGGGAAAATTATTTAGGAAAAGAGATCCAAATTGAAACCAAATGTACATATTTTACTAAATTGAAACCAGATTGAACTTGCAATCAATTCTGTTGATTTTATTTGTTTTTTAAGCAGAAGCGTTTTTCTATCGGTCTGCCTTTCCTAACGTCCCATAAGTAGACGTAATTAGTAGCAAATTATACACATCAAATTTCGTATATAAAAGTGTGTGTTGGGAATGTACGCCCCTTGTACACATCAAATTGTACATACAAGTAGTATGCATCCACCCATACACACACCTCGACACACCTAAACCGCACATAGATCTCCTTGCATAGTCTCATATGAACTTCTTCCCATAAAAAGTGATTATATTCGTCATTTAGGCTTCCTTTCTGTCGGCTTTCTTTCTGCTTGAACTAAAAAGCTGTTTTAAGAAGCAGAAAGAAAGTCGTCCCAAACGAAGCCTTAGGCTTTATTTGAGACGACTTTTTTACTTTTACATATCTAAAAAGTTGCTTTAAGAAGTAGTAAAAAACAGTCCCAAACGAAGCCTTAGAAATATAAAATGAACCTATAATGCCCCCATGATAGCATGCTCGTATTCTTTTCTCATATTCTTTTCCCTTTAGCCTGCTGGAGGCCAAAGCAACATAACGTTGAGCGAGGAGCCCGTGGACAAAACAGCAAAGAAAATCCACAACCAGAAATTCCAGGAGCTAACTGGCAATGACATTTTTAAGGGCGATACGGCGCCGACATCAGCAGAGAAGCCACTGAGCTCTGCAAAGCTGAAAGAAATGAGCGGCAACGACATATTTGCCGATGTTAAGGCAGCCTCTCGTGACTACTTTGGAGGGGTCAGAAAACCTCCAGGTGGTGGAAGCAGTATTGCTCTCGTTTGATTTCTAATTTCAGATATTTTTCATCTCCCCTATCGGCTTTCTAATCTTTAGTTTCGTTTTGGTGATGATTTGGGTGTTCTATTAGATCTTGTTTTCAGAATATCTGTACTTTGATTATTACTTCTTTGCCTCTCTGCTTGTCTCTGTGTGTGCTTGCTAGGAGATTTAGTTCAACTGTTTTAATGAGCTGATGCATGTGGATGTTTTCTATTCATCATTTTCCTGTTTTTTTTTTTTTTCTTGCTTGAAAAATTTTGACATCAAGATATTTGGTTTAAAAGAGCTATTTATATTTTTTTGAACAATTAAATTCATATATTTATGTATGTCATGATAGAATAATCAATAATTTATAAAAAATAATTATGTATTTAAGTATGTGATGATCAAATCAATCATTATTTATCAAAAATAAAAAAAATATATAGGATGATGTATCAATCGAAATAGATATAAAAAATTGCTTTGTTCAAAATTGAAGAAGCTGGTTGGGGCTTCAGTAAAATTTTAGCGAAAAAAAAGAAATAAATAATTTTTTTTTATTAAAAAATTAAACAAAATGAAACCTCAATTTTGATCGATCTAAAAATTTCGAGTTGGAGATTCTGCAAATTAAAATTTCGTGAAATTAAACAGCCATTTTACTCTTTCAAACATCCGGACTGGAAAGTTTTTTTAGTTTGGGAAAAATATCCGGACTGGAAAGTTGATCAGCTCAAGGGATCCACCGAAGCTCGTCGCGTAAAAAGCGATCCGTACTCCAGCCCTTCTTCGTTTTTTTTTAAATTCGAAATTATCACATCTTCTGTAATTACAAAACAAACCCCAAGAACTAATCACAAGTTTATAAATACAAACCCATTAACTCTCTCTTTCTCTCAATTTCGATCTGAAGAAGCTCTGTATCGAAAGAATCCTTCGCCACCTTAGTCGCCTCTGTCGATCATCGCCAATCCCCGTTCACATTAAACGGAGGCGGAGATGGAGAATTTCTTCGATGAACTCCTGAACGATGATTCTCAACCCACATCGGCGCCACAATCCGCGACTTCTTCCGGAAATAGTGGGATTGCCATAGCCAAACCCAACTCTGCATCCAGGCTATTGGATCCTCCCATCGCATATGGCTATAAGTATGGCAGCGACATTGCTGGATTTTCTGAAGCATCATCCTGCTGTTCGAGCTCCACCCCATTCGTCCCTTCCCAGACGGAGGCCGAACTCCGGTCACCGGATTTTGATTTCCTTCCTCATAATGCGGTGGGGAAGGAGATGGATTACATTAGGCTTCAACAGAGACTTCAGGCTCTGCAGATTCAAGAGGGGATTGCTGGAGATCACTCTGCTGCGGCTGGAAACTTGCAGTGTTCTTACCCAATGTGGCGTCAATCTCAATCCCCTACAGCTTATTATTCCAATGCTTTAAATCCCAATAAGGCGATCAATGTAACGGCAAGCCAAAATGGATTTGCTCTGAACGAAAATACCCTAAACTTGCTCAACACGCAGGCTTCCTCTGTTAGAGTTCCAAGGAACACCGAAGTTTGTGGGTGTGAGGATAGTTTTATCATACAGGGGAATGACATTTCTTATGCTGAAACTAATGCGATTGGGTTTGGTAGAGAGCGGAGCTTGCCTCAGATTGATGCTCATATGGATGCCATGATTCGTCTAAGACGAGTCGATTCTTTTCCTGATGTGAAAAGGTCCATCTATCATATAGCCAAGGACCAAAATGGCTGTCGTCTTCTGCATCAAAAGATTGATGAAGGGAATGCTTATGAAATCTCTGCCATTTTTAATGGGATCATTGGTCATGTGGTCGGGTTAATGGAGAACGGTTGTGGCAACTATCTCATTCAGAAGTTGATTGGCATCTGCAACGACCAACAGAGGATAAGGATTGTTCAAATGCTAACAGAAGACCCAAATGTGTTTATTAGGGTCGCTCTAAACACGCACGGGTAATTCTTTTTTCTTTTTGTAGCCACGTATTCATTGGGAATTTCAAACATTTCAAGTCTAGTTGCCTCAACGCAGCTCACTTTGGCCTCTTGGTTGGCGGCTTTGGCTATCAACTAAGAAGTTTTGAGTTTGAGTCTTATATATGGACTCCGAACGCAGAAAACAGTTCGAATAATCTGCGTATTTACTGTGTATTTGTAGATAAGCAGTAAATACTTAACAAATTCTCAGTTGTGAGTATTTGCTGAGTATTTGATGAGTTTTTACTGAGCATTTAGTGAGTATTTGCTGCGTATTTTAAAATAAGCATAAATACTCAACAAATAAGCAACAATCCGGACGATCCTCCACGTTAGGAGTCCGCACATAATAATTTCTGATATTTGTGTGAGTTTGACTAAATGTCCAAAAAAAAAAACAAGTTTGCCTCGTATGCTGGATTTATATTCATTTATTTGGAATTCCAACTGCAGTTCTTTTTAATTTCTTTAGGACAAGGGTTGTGCAGAAATTGATTGCTACTATTAAAACTCGATACGAAGCAAATTTGATTATTAAAGTTCTCATTCCTTCCTTCGTCAAACTTATCAAAGATTTAAATGGCAGCCATGTCATTCAAAGTTGTCTTACCTCTCTCACACTTGAGTATAACAAGGTATGCCTCTTTGTTTTCTATGAGCTTCAGAAAGAATGAATTTCCACTAGTATTATGCCTAACTTTTATATTATTCCATGTTTTGTTACTAGTTTTTATTACTCTTTTTTATGACATAAAATGCTTTGCAAAATCACTTGGTATGGTTATAAAGGCTTACACATGTTTTTTATGACATAAAATGCATAATTGTTATGCCATTTATCTACTTCTCAAAGTTTATGATTTATTTATTAATTTATCACTTTGAATTAGATCAACTTGAAACTGATTCGCTCAGACAAACTAGGTTTAGCTTAATTAAACAAAGTAAGCCAGATTAACCTCAATTCGGCTCTCTTTAAATTTTAGTTACTCTATTTGACCCAATTGAGGTTTTGTTTGGTACGGCTTTTTTGTCGTTTTCTAAAGCAGTTTTATAGTTCAAAATTTTTTTGAACTAGAAATTTGTGTACTAAAAAGCTGCTTTAAAAAGCAACAAAAAAGCTGCACCAAACGAGCCTGAGTTAGCCTTTGATTCAGTTCGGTTCAGCTCTTATTAGTCCAGATGAACTGAATTTAACTTCAATTCTCATAGCATTTCGACAAATTGTTCTGAGATATTTCAATCCTAAAACAACCAGATCGGATTTTTTTTTTTCTCAGCTTATAATTGACATGTCCAAACTTCTCATTGTCATTATGCATTTATATTCAACAAACTCAAATCATATCAACTAAAAACCTCCGAATCAACCCATTTTATCAATAAAAAAAAGTATGGTAACCTCATCAAATTCCATAATCAGAGAACATCAAACTACCCAAACAAGCCCATATAAAGCACTGCCCCAGTTAGAATAAGATTTTGTTTGGATCGGCTGCAGTTTTTTTATTTCGGTTGTTATAAAATTATTGTGGAAAGTTAATTTTTTTGAAAGCTGCTGTAAAAGTAGTTTTCTAGTACAAAATTTTTTTGAAAGCAATGAAAAAACAGAATTGTGATTGAGATCTTAAAGCAAAGTAGTTAGAAAGTTATCACAAACGAAACCTAAAACTCATTTCTATGTCAGATCTCATTTGTTGTTAACAAAAAACACATTTTGGAAAATATGATAAAAATGAAATTATCACATTTTATCATGAGTAGAATAATATTGAATTATACATTAATAAATATATTTTTTTTTAATCTCACAGCCATAGATCTTTATACTGTGCAGTTTATTTTTGATGCCGCTGCTAGGAATTGTGTTGATATTGCCAAGCATCGATATGGATGCAGAGTATTACATGCATGCATAAATCATTCTACTGGAGATCAACAAAGAAAGTTGCTGGCAGAAATTTCTGCAAATGGTCTTGATCTCGCCAAAGATGCCTTCGGGTAACTACATTGTTTTATTACAGTAATATTTTCCTGTATCATATATCTTTCAAGTTATCAATATAATTTGGCTTTCTTATAGCTTCTTAAATAAGCTTTTTAGTACAAAATTTTAAATTTTTGTACTTGAAAGCTGCTTTAAGAAGCAGTGAGAAAGCTTTCCCAAAAGAAGTCTTAGGCTTCGTTTGGGACGACTTTTTTGCTACTCGAAGCAGTTTTTTAGTACAAAAACTAAAATTTTGTACTAAAAAACTGCTTGAAGAAGCAATAAAAAAGCCGTCTCAAACAAAGCCTTAATAATTTTATCTTTGTTTTGTTAATAATCTATCCTAATTTGAAATTTCAGGAATTACACTGTACAATTCATACTCGATCTCCACAATTCAATAGCAAATGCAAATTTTATGTGCCAATTCAAAGGAAATTATGTAGATTTGTCAAAGCAAAAGTTCAGCAGCAATGTTGTTGAAAAGTGTATCGAAGTCTTTGAAGATGATGATCGAGCAAAGCTTATATTAGAATTGCTTTTCGCTTCAGAATTTAAAGAATTACTTGAAGATCCTTACGCAAATTATGTTATTCAAAGTGCTCTTACAGTTACTAAGGTAATTCATATCACCTTTCTTTTTTTTTTTTTATATATATTCTTTTAACAAATTTAAAATCCTCAGGATCCTCTTCTTCAGTCTTTAATTGTTCAAGCCATACGTCCTCATGCTGAAGAATTAAAATCTTGCCCATATTTCAAGCAAATTAATAAAATCATATCAAGAAATTGATGTGCAAAATTTTTTTTTTTTTCTGTTGGTAGGGATTTTGTTTGTTGAGAGAATGTTGTTGTCAGTTTAGAATTTAACAGAAATTGTTATGCAATTATTTTGGTGTAGGATGTAGATACAATGTTTTGCTAATGTGTAGTTATAATCAAGGCTTCGTTTGGATCAGCTTTTTTGTTGTTTTCTGAAACAGCTTTCTAAAACAGTTTTCTAGTACAAAATTTTCTTTAATTAAAAAATTTTATACTAAAAAGCTGTTTTAGGAAGCAGTATGAAAGCTGTCCCAAACAAAGCCTAAATATATATATGTTTTTTTTTAATATGCATTTGATAGTTTTATTTATATTGCAATTATTATTATTTTTTTTTCAACTTGTGCTTATTTTATAGGAGGTAAGCCTAAATTGGTTATTTCATGCGTTTTAAATGAAAAAAAGATTTTTTATGAGAGGTTCTATATGGTATCCGATTAATTTTTATTTCTGATATAATTGATAAAAAATTAAAATATCATAAAAATAAATAAACACACTACACAAATAATTCGCATATTGTGGATCAAAAGTAAAAGGAATATATAATATAATAGATGCAAAAAACAAAATTGAGGTGAGAATAATCATTATCTTCCTTAAAACTATAATAACTTACCTCAAGCAAAGTATTTTCTAGTTAAATACAACAGAAGAATATATCAAAGCTAAGTTATTTAGACTAAATCAATTCAAGTAAAGTATTATTAATAATCTATTTATTTAATTCCAAATCATTTGAAACTTCTACATTTTCTGTATAAAATAGAATTATTTTCTCATTCACCTAAGTGAAATTTTTTATAAACCTAATTAATAATCAAACAATTTAAAAATATATATATTAAAATCATGCATGACACTTATTTTATTCAAGTTAGTGAGAAAAGATGAACTTAAACATTCCATATGAAAGTTTTAACGAAAAAATTAAGCTTCATTTTGGACAGCTTTTTTACTACTTGCTAAAATGATTTTTTAGTATAAAAATTTTTAATTTTGATATCAAATAGTTGTTCAACAAAAAGTTATTCTAAACAAAATTTTAATTTGGTGGAGATATTTAAATTTTTGTACTATAATGCAACTTTAAGAAGCAATAAGAAAGCCAACAAAAGGAGAAAATAAGCAAGAACTGGCAATTTATTTTCTAGCTTATGAGTTAATAAGTCCTCAGTTTCACCATAAGACAGATATAATAAAGTTCTTCGCCAGAATAAAAACTGGAACCCTCTTCAGTTCTCATTATGTCCTATCAGTTCAAGCAAAAAGGCTTCGTAATCTCCAGATGTATCCTTCGCAATTGCTGCATCCAAAGCCTTGCTATTTCTTTTGGCGTAGGCCTCTTTTATTTCCTGTAGATCAGCTTCAGCGCGCGTAGTTATAACACGAGAAAGGACGCTTTCATCTGTTCCAAGTCCTTCAATGGCACTTCGAAGAACTTTCTCGAAGTATCTCTGTGGGCAAACAAGGCACCGAATTACTGCTCTTAAAGAAGAGAGAAACTCATCCTTGGCTTCATGCTTCAAGTCCTGGAAAAAAATAATTATATTAAGTGGTTGACAGTCAGCATAAAATTTGCCGAATAATTATATTTTTGTTTGGCATAATTGTAGTTGTTATCATAAGTTTAGTTTGGCACATTTTGTCCTTTTTTTCCAAATTAATTGGATCATTAAACATCATTATCACCACCATTAATTTTATACCAATTATCCTAATTCTCCATTTATTTTGTGCAACTCATTGTACCCAACTTCTATTCATATTACCTTCTATCAAGTCAATTTTTTTTCCTAATCTTTCAATAATGATTTTCTTTCTTAATAGCTTATCTTGAGCGCTTTGGTGCATATGCCCAAATAATTCAAATATATTTTCCGCTAGTATTATCATTTTTCGATCCATCGTTCTCAATTCTGCAACATATTTATCTTAATATTCTCCTTTTTGTCGTGCTCAACCAAGCTGAATCTTGAAATGATTTCAAGATAATTTGACATGATAATCCGACCTGAAAATTTAAGAAACGGGTCAGGTTTAGGTTCTAATTTTCGACCCGATTGAAAATTTAGGTCGGGTATGGGTCAATCCGGTAGGCCACTAACCCGGATTTGACCCGTCCCGTCCGAAGGCGCCGCTCCCACCCCCACAGGTCGCATTGCATTGCGACTCGAGCAGCTCACGCTAGTAGATCCGGCCGCACCGCACTAGCAGACACCCGCATGGGAAGCACTGTGTCATGACTTGTGCAGCTTGCGCTAACAGATCTCGCCTGCACTTGCAGACCCTTCATCGCACTTGTCCGGGTCACGTGTCGGGTCGGGTCGACCAGGATTCGAGGTGGGTTGGGTCCGGGTTCAAATTTGTGATCCGTTCGTTTAATTATGTCGGGTTTGGGTTGGATCAATTTTGGGTTGAACTCGAACCCGATCCAAAAACCTATTTTGACACCCTACTTGAAATGATTTTAGAATTGCGCCACATCCTTGTAATGAATGCTCCATAAAGATGGGTCTGTCACTTTCAAGCTGAATTCCATAGTGTCTTTGCAAATGAGCTTTCCATTTTAGAATGATCAAACAAAAAGGAACAAGATTGGGAATCTCTCTAGTCTCTGATGCATAAAAAATAAATAACATACTACTTATTTATATCATAAACGAGCTTTTGAGAGGCCAGAAATGATCAAACAACAGCGTATATACTACTACCTGTTTATGTTAGTAGACAAGCTTATGAGGGCACAGAAATATAAAACAGCTTAAACCAAAAATTCTGTGTGCGCACCTTATTTATGGGATTACCAAATTCATCATTATAATGATTAAACGTAGCAATTAGTTGAGCCTTGCTCCTTGTACCAAGTATCCTGATGATTTCTTCATGGCTGTAGGACTTTTCAGCAATGGCTTTATGTAGCATCTTGGCCTCCAATTTTGCTAATTTGGTATTCACCTCCGGACCGTCGTAGCGATAGGAGCTCACCAGTGGCACTAAAAGCTGATCAGAAGCAAAGAGGTTCCAGTATTAGCAGTCAACATCTATATTCATACATTTACAACTTGATGAGAGTTCATCACTGATTCTCAAGATAGTTTTAAACTATTCAATGTGAGAACAAATTTTAAGATTTTTATGAGCCTGGATAAATCTTCCTCCACATGAAAATTTTGATCATAGCCTATCACTTCCCTTCAAACTGAAACTCTCCACATTGATGGAAGAGCTCACTCCACCTCAGGTTACAATGTAAAAGATTGGTTAACACTCTTAATAGAATAAATCAAAATTATCTAAAATAATCCTTCACCAAATATTGCTACATCCTACTTTCCATATATCTGAACTATAGCTTTAAACACCTATCAGCAAAATAGTCATAAAATGTTGGTGACATCTGGTGGAAAATGCAGAGTAAAGAAAGCCACTCATGAGCCAAATCTTATATCTAGTTATCTACTTTTGGGTCGGGAGTATATTTTTTTCATTTTATGCGTATGCACATCTCAAGAAATAAGTTTAGTTTCTTCAACAACATCATATCCTTTTCGTTGTTTAGTTCATATGTTGAACTTACAATCCCTTTTCCAAAAGGAGACAGATGAAGAATATCAAGCTTATTCAAAACCATCATCTCCTTATGATTACATTGTTTGTTTATTCAACTAACTACCCTCTTTTTAAAATAGAGAGACAAAAGAACACTTGGCCTATTAGCTCCCTCAAACCCCCCTCCCCCTAACGACTTTTTATTGTGTGCGGACACCAGATGGAGAGAACCGTCCGATTTTCTCTTTGTCTATAGTTACATCGAAGCTGCTACAGTAACTGCACTTTTATTGTTGACAGAGAGAAAAACCAGACGGTTCTCTCCGTCCGGTGTCCGCACATAATAAACTCTCCCCCCTAACATGAGAATAAATGAAGGGCCTACCAAAGTGGAATTCCCCTTTGAAAAGAACTCTTCTTTCTAGCTAAAAGATACTTTTGAGATGTGGATGTGATAAACAATACCATGTTTGCTTTAATTTTTTTTAGGGGGTGTTTGGCATAGGATTGGATACAATTTTGTTAGGATTTACTAAATCCTATAAATTCGGATTTAGTAAATCCTAGGCTCATAAATCCTGAAAAGTGTTTGGTATGAAAAATTTTAAATCCTATTAAATCTCTGAAGTTATTTGGCAACATATTGTGTCGCGGGAAGAAGTTCCGCGACTGAGCATTAAATCCGAATATGAATGAGATTAGGATTTAGACGGATTTACCAAATTTATGTCGCAAATCCGTAAATGCTGGATTTACGAATTTACAGCGGCGCGAATTGCGTTTGGCTGGATTTACGCTAAATCCTACTAAAAATGACGGACAAATCCGATACCAAACACCCCCTTAGCTTCTTGAGTCCCATATTAATTCAAAATATCATGGAACATCTTTGATAAAATGGTCAGAGTTCATATATACATGGCTTCACTGAAAAGTAGAACTGATTAAGCAATAACAAGAAAATTTAACATGGGCTATAGTAACCCTATTTCAATAATTCACAAGCAAAGGTAGAAAAATATAAATATCAGATAAAATCGCAACCTTGCGGAAATCTCCCTTAGTATGAGCAGCCACATCTTCCTCCAACGACCTCTTGTAGCGCGCTTGGTACGCTTTCCTCGTCGCAAAAAGCTCTGCGGCGCTCCTGGCGCACGCTATCTCCACCAGCACGAGGTTCCCTGGGTGCCATTTCTGCACCGCCTCGTTGGCCAGCACCGCATCCCGCTCTGCTTGATCCAGCGTCCACAGCATCACCGCCCTCTGCCAGCACGTCAAAACCCCAAATCGATCCAACGATCTAAGCCGCTGCCAACTCCGATCAAATGGAAAAGCGAAAAAAAGGGAAAGATCAAGCGAGAAATGGGTACCTCGAAGTCACCAGATATCTCCTTCTTAAGAGATACCAAGAGATCTTCACCGTACGTCTCGTGGTAGGTTTCACGGATTCGGTGGCGCTGTAAGGCATTGCGGTGGGCTAAGATGGAGATGATCGTCTTCTCGTTCGTTCCAAGACCTGTATTGATGCTTCAGATGAGAGATCGGATCCCTTATCTACAAGTTGTCAAGTGAAATCTGTATCGAAAAGGAGAAGAGGACAGTGGGTAGAAGAAGAGGAGACAATGCCGAGATGGGATTACCAACGAAAGCCTTCCGTAGCTGCTGAGTGTCCTCGACGGGGGAAGGTACCACCTGCGGAACTCTGAGCGTCGCCATTGTTCGGATCGGCAAAGATCGCTGTATCACTTTGAGTTTGACCTCAAGGAGAGAAGAAATTTTTAGGAGGATAACTTGATCAAATATTTTTTTAATCTGCAGTATTTTTTTTTTATTATTTTTTAAGTGAATATAATATATGAGTAATTAATGTCATAATTATTTTTAATTAAATTTAAAATGAATAGAAATTAGTTTATAACATCTTAATATAAATTATATTAAGATAAGATTAAAATTTATTAAATTTATTTGACTAATAGCATAATACAAACTTTAAATAAAATATTAATTTAAAAATAAATCTAATGATTTATAGCTAATTCTCAGTTTATTTTGATGTTATTTTTTCCAAAGAAATTCTAAAAATTATCCTACTTAAATTTCAATAATATGTACACTTATATTTATTCCAATCTTAAAAAAAAAAAAGTTTCTTCCTATCAAATATTTGTAACTTATAAAAAATTGGTAAATGATTGCCATGAAAAAAATGAAATGATTTTTGGGCAAAGTATTGATCATATTTCGTGAGAAAATTTGAATTAGGATATCATGATTTAATTTTTAACACATCAATTTTAAAAAGTGATTAATTACATTTTATTATTGATATATCATAAAAAAATATCTTGATAGGGACGAATCTCGAGGCAAAAATCTAGTTGGAAACTTCAAAAATTAAATTGGAGATCTGAACTCTGATTTCAAAAAAATTATAGTCGAACTAAACGTCTAGGAAATACGAACCTAACAACACGAAATCTTACTCAATCTGAGCCTAAACTAGTCCAAATCAAAGACCCGGAGCACATTTGGAAGGTTCAACCTATGATTTAGATTACCAAACAGTTTTCAAATATGGTGTGCTTATAGTCGAATCAAGCGTCTTGATGAGACGAATCCAACGAGCCCAAGATCATTAAATTATGATATCATTAAAGCCTTCAAATACTTAATAAATTGTCTACGATCAAGGAATTCAACATCGCCCGTCCATTCAAAACACTCCCAATTTACCCGTGATCTTCCTCATATTTACTGGTCATGCAACTCTCATAAACTATAAATAGACCCTCATTTCTCTTAAGAAGGGGATCCCAATCAAGAAGAGAAGAGAAGGAAGAAACTCCTCGACCACCGCCAAACTTGCACCCGGCAGCCGACCTGCTTCGAAATTAAGCAATGAGGCAAGAAGAGAAGGAAGAGACTCCTCCTCGACCACCGACGGAGTTTCGCCCCAACTCCAAGTGGCGTCGGAGTTCCGCCCGACCTTAAAGTGATATCGGAGTTCCGCCCAACCTTCAAGTGACGCCGGAGTTCCGCACGACCTTCAATTGACGCCGGAGTTTCACCCTACCTCCAAGTGATGCCAGAGTTCTGCCCGACCTCTAAGTGACGTCAAAATTTTGCCCGACCTCCAAGTTACGCCAGTGCTTTGTCCAACAACCAGTTTTCTTCTTGATCGCCAACTGACGTCGGAATTCTAATATTCGATTGTAACTGAATTTCAACCCAAGAGTTGATTATTGTAATATGATCGTCCTAAATTTTATGGAGGAGTCAACCTCTTGTGACCTAAGCAAACACTAATAAAATTCTTCAATTGGGCGTGGCCCCGTGGTTTTTCCCTTTCCAAGATTTTCCATGTAAAAATTCTGATGTTTTTTCATATTTTGTTTGTGTTCTGGATATTCGTACAACACTGAAATAAAAAAAATTCTAACTATATCGCCACATATATTCTAGCTTGTAATAATTATAATAAAATAATATAAAATTAATACGACATAAAAATTTTATTTGATTGGACGTGAATTTTGATGTATATTTGAATTAGATACTTTCAAAATTAAATTCGATATCATCCAAACTTTGATTTCAGCACATTTATAATCAAATTGAACGTCTCGACAAAATGAGCCCAATGACACTAAAATTGGTCCAATCAAAGCCCAAATGGACTCAAATCAAAAGCTTGAAGCATATTTGAAAGCATTAGAGCATTAATTTGATGATTAAATGATATACAAATATAACATGCTTATATTCAAATCAAGCGCCTCGATGAGGTGAATCCAACGAGCCTAAGATTACTTAATTCTAACATCATGAAGGGGTTTAAACACTGATTAAATGCTTTATAATTTAGGGAATCAATATGAGATGTTGTGGGTTTCTGAAAGGATAATGCTCACGGGGTTAGAATGCAAAGCGCACATTCGCACTATATTGTAGGACAAAATACCTGTGGGCCTTTAAACTTTACGCAAATAGGCCAAAGGAAGAAAATATTTACACTTTAAACAAGTAGGCCAAAGGAAGAACATATAGAAACATACATATGATTATCCATGGAAAGTAGTGACTTTTGTCTACACATCTCAATGAATAATAATATACATAGTTTGATAGCCACGATATTTTTCTCATTCGATACATTAGCTCGAATGAGATTTATTTAATGTGAGTATCAATTTTCCACTAGCGCAAGCCCCTGTGATTAATTATATCCTAGTCATTGGCCTAAGAATAATTTCAATTAGAGATATTATTTTATTCTCTTCTTGGTTTGGTGTATAATGAGGTTCCTAAGTTCTTCTAATCCAATGGAGATAAACTCTTCTTTTCATCTTTAGTAAATATTAAAATTATTTAAATATATGAAAATTTGTTTAAATTTTGAATTTAAAAAATTGAAAATTGATTTCTTATTTACAAAAAAAAATAGATTTAGAATTTATTAGGAATTAGAGAAGACACACCAAAGTGTGTATAATATAGGCTTATATTTGTTTGAAGTGTGTTGTCAGCTAATATCCTAAGCACAATTAATCACCTTATATATGCAAGATAAAATCGTTCTATACTAAAGAGTCAAACATTTTTTAATTCAAAAAGTTTAATCAAGACTTTTAAATATGCAAGTATATGTAACTAAATGCATAAATAAAATATTTTATTCATTTATTTAAAATATAAATACAACCTAGGTAGGGGTGTCAATTTCGAGTCACAGGTCAGATTCGGGTCAAACTCGAAACTGACTTGGCATTATTCGGGTTCAGGTCAACCCGACCCATTTTTGCAAAAGGGACAATTTTTTTGACCCGACCAGCTTCGGATTATGGTCAACCCGACCCAAATACTGCCTTTCATCTTCTCTTTTCACCGTCGTTGTTGGGCTTCGTTGCTTCGTAGGAGGTGTAGAGATTGCACGCGTCGCTTTGTAGCTGATCGACATCGCTCCTTTGATGATTTTCCCTTCCCATCGGATCGGATGTTACAACATTTTGATCGGAAGCAACGACGGGAGTTTGCTCGTTGTTGTTCAACTTCGTTGATGTTGGGCTTCATTGCTATTTGACTTCGCTCGTTGTTGTTCGGTTCCTTTGTGACTGATTGACATCGCTCCTTTGATGATTTTCCCCCCATCGGATCAGAAGTTACAACATCAGAAGCAACGACATGAGTTTGCTCGTTCCTGTTCGGCTTCGTTGTTGTTCAACTTCGCTTGTTGTTATTCTGCTCCTTCGTGGCTATTCAACATCGCTCTTTTGATGATTTTTCCTCCCATCAGATTGAAAGTTACAACATTTGATCAGAAGTAACAGCGGGAGTTCACTCGTTGTTGTTCGCCTTTATTATTGTTCGACTTAATTCGCTCGTTGTTGTTCGGCTCCTTCGTGGTTGTTTGACATCGCTCCTTTGATAATTTTCCCTCCCATCGAATCGGAAGTAAATGATGGGAGTTCGCTCATTGTTGTTCAGCTTCGTTGCTGGTTTAGGTCATTCCGAGTCATTCCCGAGTTTTCGGGTCAGCCCAAATCCAACCCGATTTTGCAAACGGATCAATTTTATAGACCCAAACCTGACCCGCTTTGGGTTCTAGTCAACCCATACCCGAAATTTTTGGGTTGGGTTTTTGGGTCAGGTCCAATATTGACACCCCTAAACCTAGGGTCTGTTGGAAAGTAAGGTGGCTAAGCTCCACCACAACATACTTGAATGTCTAGTCCTATGAATTTAAGTTCAAATGCATTTGCTTACTTTCTTTTGGCTCTAAGTGTCACAACCTAACCTGAACAGAATATGTTCTGTCATATTGAGCTGTGACGGGCCAATCCCAAAATCTAATTTTAGAATATTTTAGATTTTTTCTAATATTTATTATAAATAAACTGTAGACTACAAAGCTACTAAAACATCTAAATACTAAAAATAAACTCATCCACAATTTTTTTTTATCAAAATATATCTATACTACATTACATGCTTACATACATAATTACATAACTATATAATAAACTAGTCATGACTATACAAAAATCAAGACAGGGAAATACTTATAAACTCAAATATGAACCTAAATGATTAATCAACAGTCTCCTCTCTCTTCCCAGATCCTAAAAATCATAAGCAAAATTATAATGAGCTATAACAACTCAACATACCAGATAAGCTTCTCTAAAATTTTAAATTATTATATTAAATATTTTAGTGGATATTTAAAAGTAGTTAAATACATTTTAATAAATCATTGTACTGAAAAATGTAATAAAAATATAATAGTTATTCAATTATTTAAATAATTTTTTAGCAGATAAATAAATTACAATTCATATCATAAAGTAACTCATATCATATTCCCCAGACAGACATAATCTTAAAGGATTTTAATCTCATAGACTCCCTTATATGCTTATAGCACTAGAACATGTCTACCTGAATATGTCTTATACGCACTAGAGTATTTCCTGATATAAATAGAATCTCAAAGAATTTAAGCCCCCTATGGTTCCTAGTAGATATTATTTAATCACATATACATATTTTTATCATATTATAATAACTAAAGTACAATTAAACATGTATCATAATTGAATAGTTTTCTCTAATGGCAGGCAACAAAAAAACCTACTAAGAAAAATGCATATTTTTAGAAAAACCTACTTAAATATGTGCATATTGCTAGAAAAGCCAAAAGGTCAAGAGGCCAAGTTTTACTATTATATAAAATAATATTTAAGTCTTTTATCATACTACAACACTTTTTCAACATTCAAATAATTTTTTATTCAATAAAAAACTCATAAATTTCAAAACCCTCATTATAAAATTTTCAAAAAAAAAAAAAAAAATTAAAAAAAAAAAAAAAAAAAAATCAAACCGTTCGTAATCTCAATCTCCATAACATATAAAAAATTAGGCGGTAAAAGTTTTATCTCTGCAAAGTTATACGTATTTATTGCTAAAAAAAAAAAATTAAAAAACTTTTTAAAAACTTCATATTTTTTTAAAATTGATGTGATTGGCAACCTCAAGACAAATAAGTTTTACAACTAGGCTGACATGCGAAAACGACTCGAAGTCATCCAAAATAAAAGAAAATTCCTTCTCTCTTTTCTCTTTTTCCCTTTCTATTTTTGCTTTCTCTGTTGACTTCTACCTGAAAAGATATGGCTTTAAATATTTTGTTTTTTTAATAATATGTAATGATATTATTATAAATAATAATTATTATTAAATTTATAAAAATCCTTTTAGGGATTTCAAAAATTATAAAAAAATATACATAAGATAGTTCATTTTATTTAAAATTTTTGATGAAATCGGTTTGTAAAATAAACATCTAATAGTCCTAAAATCTCCACTAGTATCGACAAGTGATAATTTCTTAAGGAATTTTACAAGTGCTAAAAAATTATGAAAAAAATTAGATTAGCTAAACCACAATAATATATATGCTACAGTGAAGACAATTTATGATTTGGACTTATAACGACTCATAAAATAATTTTTTACTACTATAAATTTTAAGGGTTATAACACCCAGTCTGTTATAGGTTCCAAAAGAGAGCACCCTTCAAAGGGAAATACCGCTCTACCTTCGGACGCCAGTAAATTAGTGCCACGTGTTCTCACTATTTACTGTGCGGCCCGACAACCCGACCCAGAACGGAGCCGGGATTGCTATGTTTGCTTATTGCTAGGTATTACTCGGTATTGCTAGGTATTGATCGATTTTGCTCGGCAATAACGATAAATACCATTATGTGAAGATCAATACCGAGTTTTTTTGGTATTGCTCGGTATTGGTCTTGACAGAGCGGTATTTCTTGTTATTGCCAAGCAATACCTAATAATACCGAGCAATACCTAGAGCAATATCGAGCAATACGTGAACATAGCAATCCCGGGTCAGGTCGTCGGGCCGCGCTGTAAAGAGTAAGAGCACGTGGCGACATATTATTGGTGTCTAAACGTAGAGCTACTGTTGACCTCATTTTTCGAGGTCAATTTCCCCGAGTTCATCTCTAGCACCTAGGTCTTCCTAACCTAGTGTAGATGTCGCACCCATAGGATTTCTCTTAGGTGGACGCCCACTGACGTAGCGCTGACTCGACCCAAATCAAATCAAACCATTTAAAGATAATGAAAATTAAATTCGTTAAAGTTGACATTAATTGGATCTAATTTATTTAGATCGACACGAGTTCGACTTGCCCAAGTTGTTTCGCCCCGACTTAATTAAAATCAAAATCATTTCAATCTAGATTTAGTTCAACTCCAAACAAAACTCAAATCGATTCAACCTCCTAATTCGACTTAGATCGCCACTAAATTGACTCAACACGAATTTCATTTAACAAAATTTGCTTCGATTAAATCAAACTAATTCATTATAAGCCAATTTAAATCAAATCGACATTAGTTCAACTTGTCCAAATCAATTCATCTCGAACCCATTAAAATCAAAAATTTTTTTTTTAATGAAATCAGAAGCTTTCTAATAAATTTCTTAACAATAACTTAAACTAAAACTAATTAAATGAAATTGAGACCGGTTCAAACCAGCCCCTATGTTCTCCCCTATCTACCCAAAAATGACCCCAACTCCCTCTTAAGTTTCGAACTGCTCCCACTCTCTTACAGTTGCGAATTGCTCCTCTCTCTTTCTCTTGCATTCGCACAGAACAAGACCCCCATCCCCTCTAGCAGTTCACGACCTCTCCCAGGCAGTTCACGAAATCACCCAGCCCTCTCCCTTTGGATTCGCACGCACAGAGAAAAACCGCCTCCTAGGTCGGAACTCCCTCTCTCACACTTTCGGCTCTCATTCGAACACTCTGACACGCTTCTCATTCACACACAGAAAACCACCCAGCCTCCTCTCCATTTCACAAAAACTGTCCAGCCCCATTAGCATAAGAACCTCAGCCTGTTGCTGCCTCCCTCATACTCTTTCATTTGCACGAAGCCCGATAACTCCCATTATTTTTGTAAAACCGGCTCCATCTCCTCCCTCCGTTTTCTCTGAGTTCACAAGAGGCCCCCTCCTTTCCTATTCCAGTTCATACGAAATCTCAAGGAGGTCCGACGTTGGTCCTAGCCATTGGATCGAAGCCTTAGTTCTGCCGGCCTCTTCTTGTATATGGGTAAAAAATCCTCTTCTTCTTACTTGTTTAAGGAATATATTAATCCTTTGTTCTCTTAAGATAAAGTTGTGTTGAAATTTTTTTTTTATCCATAAGAGATTGAGTACAAAAGTTTTGAATTAAATTTGAGAGTTTGGAAGAAATCTGAAAGCAACGATTGAAACATTATTCACTTTTTTCTTACATTTCATCTTTCTCTTCTTTTATTCTTAATTAAGATAAATATCTTAAGTGCATAATAATCTTTCTTATTATAAAAAAAAAAAAAATTTGAAAATAACAAGGGATATTATGAACAATTAATGAATCTTGTTTAGAGTCGGATTATATTTATCACTTCTTTGAGTTAAGTATACATTTGAAAATGATGCAAGATAAGATAATTGATAATTCTCTTACAATTTAATAGCCTTTCATTACATCATAAATACTTTATACAAAGATTTATTACTGTGTTGAATATTAATGTGCATATCTATAAATTTATCATTCTTAAAATAATTACCCCATATCAGTAAACTATGTCTTAATGGAGAGATAGAGAAAATATTGAATTCTCAAAAGCATAGTTATCTTTCATATGCAAAGAATGTTGATTGAAGAGAATTTGGAGATCTTTTTCAAACCGCTGTCATTACTTCAACAATCTATAGTGATAAAGGCTTGTATAAAATGATCGGCAATATTTCAAATGTGTGGATTTTGAATGGCGTGTGTTTTGAAAGTTTTTTTTTTATGTGAAAAGTTGAATAAAGTAAAGTACTTTGGAAAGTACATGTGTTGAAAATGAAATGTTTGAAAAGGTGTTATGTGAGAAAAATGAAAAGTGACTTAAGTATGTATGTTTGAAAGCAAATATGGTGTAAAGAAATGAAATGTATGTATACAAAAATATGAAAGTAATGTGCATGTTTTAAAAAGGTAGAAGTATATGTTAAAAGTATTTCGTGTAATAATTATAGTAAAAGTAAGGTATTTGTTTTGTGAAAATGTGTGATAATAGAAAAGTGTATATAATTTGAGAGACAAGACTTGTGTGTTGAAAAGATGTAGAAAAGAGAAAGGTTTCAAAAGGTGATCAACCAAACCAGTGTTCAAGCCCGAAGAAAGGTACGTCTTTATTTTCAGTAAATTTTAATTATTACTTTATTAATTATTAAATATATTTTTCTAATCCCTGTTTTTCCTGTTTTATTTGCATAAACTGCGAGGAATGGTACCGGTCGAGGGAACAAAAGGACAAGGAGCTAAAGGCGTCAGTCGCCTCTATCCAACCGGGTAGAGGTGCTACGGGCGGAACCACCGGGTCGTAGCCCCCGGTGACTGTAAGTATTTCTAAACTTAGAAAACCTTTAGGGGCCCCTTGATGTGGTGTGCGTGAACCCTTCCTTTAGGTCCCTATAGTAACTTCAATTTTATTAGGTTTACTTTTGTTTGCTTTTAGATCCCTAAACCCCTTTTACATATACGCAAAGTTCTAAGGGTT